ATACTGGACTTGAATCTACCTGTCCCCTTCTTTGCATTTATAAAGATGGATGCAGGCTTGACTCAATAAAGGAAAGCTTTGCAGAGTAACAGTAATTCCCTCCCCATATTGCCTGCAATGCATGCATTAGTTCATACCAAGGAGGAGACTACAGTCGTTTCTTGTACTGTGAGTTATTTCTTGTTCTTATTCAGGGCTGCAAATGTGCAGTCATCCACTGAGACTCCACCCTGAACTCTCTCTCAAGCCAAGCATCCTCCAGCTCTTATCTATCTTCAAACAGCAGCATCCATATTTTTTGATTACACAAGGTGGATCTTTCACAAGGAAAGCTGATTCCTATGTCTCCTCTTGTCTCTTGCTTTTTCATTTCACAGTTGGACTCACTTTGCTTATGGTTCATGCAAATAAGCCACTGTGTACTTGGAAATAATCCCTGATGAGGAATGGTTGAGGTTAGGATGCTCTATGGGATTTCATGCAGCCTACAAACCTCTTTGCTGAGGCTGAATTTGAGAGCATGGAAAAATTAAATTGTCTGTAGGTGGATGTTCTAACAGTGACAGCTTTTTATTCCTGGCTGCTGCTCATACTTGGCTTCTATCTTTCTCACTGGCCTTCCAGCGTCTTTCCCATGTTATCGTGGATGTAATCCATATAGGGAGTACTTCTAACTTGAGAGTCTTGTTTGCTCCTGAACTGCCTCTGGTGTAAAGAATCTGGCAAGTTTTGTCAAGGGATTTTTGTGCTGGGAAAGTACAAAACAGTAACTTGGAGTGCCTGGGGAAATTTATAATCAGAAAGTTCGGTGCACATGAAATTAGGCACCTTCAAGAAGAGGCAGCATCTAAGCAAGGCATTCCAGTATTGCAGTTTTGTATGTCAAGTTCTGTGTTCAGTGTATGTCTACACTGCACATACACACACAGAGTCCATCTGCTCTCCCTTCACCCCATCAGAACACAAGATGACAAAAGTGACACCAGGTCTTGATAATCAAATATAGGAGGAAAAGATCACTTTTATCTGTGATTCCCTTTTGCAAATGCTATAAGAAATATGACTTAACAATTTACAAAATGTGCACATCTTTCAGGAGCAGTAATCAGTTCTAAGCATTATATTTTCTCTGGATCACTTACAACAATGAAGCAATAGAATGTGATTAAACACTGCCACTTGTGGAAATGTTTAAATGTACATGGATAAACGCAGCATCCTTTGCAAAAGGTCAAGGAATACTAAATGTTCACATTCTATTTCCTGCTTAAATACAATAAAGAGAGGTGCTTTCATGCAATAAAACATTCAGGTTAAACTACTATGGAAACAATACCGGGTATGTGTTTGGTGGACGCAGATACCCAAGTGTAGAAGCCATGAGAAATGTGTCTGGTACTTAGTTGTGCTCCTCCATTCTTCTCAGCCATGCAGATCAGATACTGTTTGCAGGGAGCAAAGAGCAAGGTGATTTTTCTCATGTCTTAGTTGAGATATTTGATCTGCACTTTTATAACTAAAGATATCACTTGTGGATTGTGTTCCTTGTTCTGATGGGAGTGTATCTGCCAGATAACCAGGAATTTGACCACTCTTCCAGAAAAGTTATTGGAATAGCATACTGAAATTGTTACTTCACTTGCTTGGATAGTTCTAAAGACTGTGGCTGTGGATCTGATAATTTCAGCAGCAATGCTGTGCACAAGGGAGAAGCAAGGCTGTCCTCTGACACGGGATCAGTGACACCAGTACATAAATCCAGCGCTGTGATCCTGTGAAAAAACTGTGCTGCAAGTCCACTCATTCTCATGCATGCATTGCACTGATAAATGTCTCAGTAAAAACATTTCAAAAATAATTTTGCGACTTAAGAAAACATACTTTAGCAATTACCATTTCCTTTACCATGAAACCAAATTCACTGTACATTACGGCTTTAAAGCCGAGATCTGAGGTTCAGATCAACTCTTTAATCCTAACTGTGGCTTCAGGTACTTCCTGATATTTATGAGAAATGCTCCAGGCCTGCAGCTGGGCTTTGAACAAAAAAATAATGAACTTCGTTGACTGTGAACAAAGTTCCACATTATTTTAAGGAAAGTTAAGCTATGACATTTTTTAATCCAATGCTAAATCGCATAACCCAAATTCTCTGCATAATTCAGGAACATTCAGAGCAATAAAAAGACAATTAGATCAAACCTGCTTGCTAAATGAGCTGACATCAATCTATCTGAACTTGAGAATTTTCACCAGTCTTTCTTCTGAAATACGTCCCATTACTCTTTGGAGGAATACAATACTTTCACTATGTATTACCTGATTGAAAAGACTTGTTCAGATCCATTCCAGTGTACTCCATATACTAACATTGTTTCCTCTTATAATTTATAAATGTAGATAAAAGAGAGCAATACGACATCTTGCAGAATTGCATACTTCTATTCATGCAACAAGTTTTACAAATCATTTATAATTGATTCTGGCTCTGTTTTTTTAATTCAATTCAATGTTACTATTTATTCAGAACTTACGTCAAATCACTTCTTGCTCACTCTGCACATTAGATGTCAGCTCAAAATGATGTGAAATGGCAGAAATTAAGAGAAAATAAAGCTGAGTTGATTCAGCGTGGGAAATTTTGGCTGGGATATGATGGCTCATAAACAAAAAGGGCATTTCGTTTTCAGGAAAAGAGGGCTCAGGGCACTGTCTGACAAAACAGGGCTTGGAGTGAGCAGTGATGATAACTGTAGTGATCAGACACTCTGGTAAACAGTGAGCACATGAAACAGAAAAACAGCTTTCTTCTATTGAATCAAAACAAGTTGTTGTCGAGAGGAGCAGGGGAGAGTCCTATGCAATAGATGAGAAGGGAGTCAATGAAGTTTAGGAGGAGAATTCCTGGCAATAAATGTTTAGACATAAAAATTAAGAATCTTAAGGAAAAACAGAGATTAGGGATTAAACAATAGGCTACAGAACAGCAGAGAAAATACAGAGTTGAAAAATTTTATTCTATTCCCAAGGGAAAATGCACACACTGTATTTGTTGTGTAGAGAGTTGGGTATTATCTCCTTAGTAGCAGATTTTTTCCCTAACATGCCTTTTGCTTTCTGTTATGGTACATAAATAATAGCTTCCCAGTCCCCCACATTTCACTCACGGTAGCACAAACACCAGGCCCCACTGTGCAGGCCAACCAGATCCTCTACCCTCAGCATAATTACAGTAAATTAAATGTGACATTAGAATTTGCATCGGGATGAAGCAAGACTGTTAACTCATGAGATATTTCTGATAGTAAGTCAGCTTTTAAAACCTTGCCTCTCTCATTTTATATTAAAAAAAGATAAGAATGTAAAAATACTGTGATTGAGATTTGTGAGTTCTCACAGCAATGTGAATTTTAAAGTTTATTTTTGAGCAATTCCTATTTGATTTTTTTTACAAAATATTTAAAAGGATTCAGGCCCAACATGTTGGTCTCTTGAGAATAGGGCCACATGTGACTTACTGTGTTCTGTTGTGAGATGTTCCTTTATTTTTGTTTCCTTCATCACAGCAGACAACACTTCTAAATCTGGTATCTTGAAGTATTGCCTTTTCTGGGGATAGAACCAAAGAACTGTGGATACCTGAACCTGGTGTTATGAAAGGAGTATAAAGGCAAGATATTCAGCTCACATTGCTGGGAATGTACAATATGGTTATATTCTATGCTAAAGGTACTGAAGTGACATATTCTTTACTGTATGCATTCAAATCATGTATTTATTTACCATTCAGGATCGCAAAGCGCTGCTAACTACACAAGTTAACAGCTGTCTGCTCATACAGTTCCTGGCTCCCACCTCCTCAGGCATCTTTTTCCTGTTTATACTTGTACATCAGATGGGCCTTTGGAAAAATCCCTGATTTTCTTTTGTTCTGTTTTCTTTGTTCTGTTTCCATGCAGTCTTTTTCCCTTTGGAGATGACATGTATGGGAAATGGCTTATTGTAGCAACAGGAGACAGGAGCAAAAACAACTGCATCATGGGTAAAGAAAACATCAAAGCAAAGCCCAAGCCAAGTAGCTGTGAAAAAATTATTTCGTATGTGATACTTCAGTGTGTTGAAATCCAACCTTGGTAGATTTTTTGGCAACACAGAAAAAAAACAAAACACAAGCAGCTACCACTTTCAAAATCCCATTTTCCTCTGCATTTTTACTAAAACCAGACAAGACTATGGACACAACACACCTGCTGCAGTCGGTGCATTGCCATTTCTACCTTTTATAAGATGTGAAAATAGATTAACCTACCTGTAGGGATGGTTTTAACCAGACTTGAATTGGATAAAAAAAAAAAAAAAAAAGCAAGTCTGAAAGACTGTGAAAAGCAAATTGGAACCCATCTTTCATTAAATACTAATTACCTGTCTGACAACCCACGTACAAAAATTAGTGTGCTTACTGTAGATGTATTGTTATCGGCGATGTGTGTGTATTGCTGTAGGTAGCCAACATGATTAAGTACTTTTAGCAATTTGTATCTAAAGACAATTAAGTTCTGCAGCGAAATGGAAGGAATCTGGCATAAAAAAAATAAACATTAAGGATGGCAGATATTGTAAGTGAATAAACAAATATAACTATTTCCAACACACACATTCTCCTCTCTCACAATTTACATAATGTAAACGGCTTTGACAACATCTTCACATTCTGTTTATCGTTAAATAGAGCTGAGCTAAGAAAATCTGCATATTGTGTTTCTGCAGCTCAACCTTCTGACCCGCTGGAGAGTTCTGCAGGCTACCGAGCAATGAAAGTTCCCTCTGTGGGTAAAGAGCCCATGGCAAGCAGTAATCAGCGCTCGCAAAAGCAGCAAACTTGCCTCATCTAAGTAAGTGTATGTGTGGAGTTTGTTAAATATTTATCCAGATTTATATTTGAGTAATAAAAATTACATGCTGGAAGTACTTCAACTATCTTTAAGCAGCAATATCCACACTTCCGCAGTTTGAACGCTTTTATTTTTAGTTTGTAAAAGAGAATCTGGTTTCCTAAGAGGGTTACTACGCTGACATTAATTAGAAGCACAACAAAAAAGGCTTTGGAAGCAAACTGACAATCCAAATCAAACAAAAGAAGGTATTTTTATTATTTATGTTAATACCACCACTCCTTTTCCACCTGGAATAACAGAGAACAAAGCAAAGCAACTTTGTCCTCTATTCATTGCAGGTAGCTGAAAAATTGCAAGTGACCTGACGAGATCCCTGTGGTCTTTTATGAAGGTATGGTTTTAATTAGATAACGTTATCTCTTGTCCCTTGAAGTCGCTATCTCCAGATGCGTCACAGCCACCTAAGCCTCACGTAAAGGCACGCTTACAGCACTAGAAAGGTGCACGTGAGCCTTGGCACTGCCTGGCCCTGCTGTGCTCCCACTGCACTGAGGAAGGCTTGCAGACAGAGCTAATTCCCACTGAAGGCCAATTACTTTCAAGCCATAAGATTTGCTGGTTCTGTGGTACCTAAAATAGACACGATGATTCTCTGGAAGCAATCACAGCAATTGAACCAGCCTTGGCAATTAGGAAAAGGCTTTTTTTTTTTTTTTTCAGCTGGATGGTTGTCTGCTGAAGAATATCTCTCAATGGAGGGATGATTGCTGACGTGTTCTTAGTTGTTGATGCTTAATTGGATTGTGTCCAGTCCTTCCTTCCAACTGCTTCTACGCAGAGTATATTTAAGTCCATTTGTGTCTATTTTTGTCCACATTCTGTGCGTGCCTGGAATAGAACAACAAGTTTTAACAGCAGCTTTGTAAAAGCTACTGACAAACGCGATCCTCCACAGAAACAACTTTGATTTCTTGTTTTATTGCTCCACCTTCTGGTTAACTCACGTTTATTCTTCAAGCAAGATCTGGAGCGGGAATGGAATCATACCTAGCAGGGAAATTCCCTCGGAAAAGCTACGAAGCCCTCAACGGCCGCTCGTTCCGCAGGCCATGCCACAAGACGGAACTCTCGCGCCTGGCACGCACCCCTCGGTGCCAGCGACCCCCGTCGGCACTCTTCGGCACTCTTCGGCACTCTTCGGCAGCTCTCGGCCTTCGGTAGCCAATCAGAGAACTCCGTGCGTTCCCGCTTTAGCTCGCTAGCGCGTGCAGGCTGAGGAAAGTTCCGCGGGCCTGGCCTGAGGGAGGCGGCGACGACGGACGGTGGTGGTGGGTTGTTGTGGTCCGGGAAGCCCGGCGGGGAGATAGGCGTGTGGTATTGTGGAGACGGCGGTCTCGTGTGTCGCCGGAGTGGGAGCGGCGTCGCTTTGTGACTGAGGTAATGCTGAGGGCATGGCCGAGCTGGTGGGGGAGGGGAAGCGGATTTGCGGCCGAGAAAGGCGGAGCCGGAAGAGATGGGTGCTGCGTGAGGAGCCAGCGGTCTCTGGGGGCCGTTTGGGTGGCTGTGTGCTACAAATAAAGCGTTTGCTGCTCCGCTGGTAATGTAGTGAGTTAGTCTGCGTCGAGTTGGTAAGTGCAACTTCAGAGTGGTGTTGGTGGGCTCAGAGTTTGAAGCTCTGGCCGTGTCTTCACGGCTTGAGATTGCCTGGGCCGTGCTGTTAGTCTTCGGTTTGGCCGTAAGGGTCTGTTAATTACCACTGGATGGGCAGATGGAACAGTGCTGCTTATAATGTGCCTTTGGGTAAGACTGAGCGCTAATGGGTGCTTCTTCTTCAAAGGGAACATGACTGGAAGAGCTAGAGCCAGAGCGAGAGGAAGGCCTCCAAGTCAGGAGGCTACCATTCCTGCTGTGGGAGCTGCATCTGTAAGTTGATTCTCTTTAATTGACACAGCTGTGCCTTGAGATGTTACTGCTGCTCACTGTTTTAGTATGTATGTTTTAAATGAAACTCCTGTATAGGCTGGCACTCATACCATGTAGACTGGGTGCATCTTCCTCTGTGAAGCTGAGTTTCAGAGGTGTTTCCAAAGGAGGTTGTGGAAAGAAGAAAGCTGAATTCTAGATGATCCCTGTTGTCTTTGGCACTACACTGATACAAAGGCATTATAATACCGCAAAGTTGATTCTGCTCATGGTTTTTATCAAAAAGAATTTGTGAAGTTAGAGGAGATCAGAGATCTCTTTACATAACTTTCTGATAACCTGTGATTATTTGGGGAGGAGGAGCCTTTCTGAATGGGGAAACTGCAGCCTTTGAGGAGGTTGTCAAGAAGATGGAGATGGGCTCTTTGTATTGCAGGGTGGGAATATGAGGGAGCACAAATTCAAATGAATTGTTTTGACTAGACTGAAGGTGTAGAGGAACTCCAGGAGAGAAAGGCTGGCAGGTTGTGTGACAGCGCAAAAGGTTCTGCTTTGTTGTAGAACAGAGCCTTTCAGCTGTCTGGCTCAGGTTTCGCCATTATTCTTGATATTGGCCTGTTACTTGCTTGTACTTAAAATAGTGAACTTGATTTTTTCAACTTGGGAAATAACTAACCATACTCATGGGGCAAACTGATAATCTGGTCAATGTTTTGAATTGTGGGATTGTTTGTGGCCAGCAGTCATGTTTTGTAGTTGCTAAATAGAATAAAACTCTTTACTTCCCTGGGAACTTGAGTTGTTTGGGGGGAGAAGATCTCGAGTTAGTACAGCTTATTCTGAAGTATTTGTGCAAGCATGGCACTTTTAAATATTAATGTTATAAATTAAACTAAACACTAAAGTTAGAAGAGCTGTTCTTATAAAATAGACATTTACTTGGAATATCAGTGGAGACACTGAGAGTAGTGCAGAGATTCTGTGCAGGGCCTGGAGAGAGAAGATTTACACTTACTGCTGTTAAATGAGCATCATCCCAAACCCTGTTGTTTTAGTACTGAAAGCATGTAGTAATAACTCTCGGTACCTATAAGGGGGAAAGAAATTCAAATACGTTTGCTACACTTGGGTGCATGGATATTCTGGACTTGATCAGTGGCTTTGCTTTGTTGTATACTTCAGTTGCACTGGAAAAAGTTGTTCTCATCTATTGCAGACTCAAAAGACTTTGCCCAGTCGTCCACCTGGGCAGCAGCAATCGCTGCAGCTGTGTCGTCCTCCAGCACTGGCAGAAGAACCTGGTGGCCGTGGGCGACAGAGAGGCCCTCAGGATGCTCCAAAGACACTAGGTCAGAAGGAGGAAAAAAAAAAAAGTTAATTTCCCACAAGAACATGTATTTTGAAGAGAGTGCAGTTAATACGCTCTTCGTGCTGCATTTCCAATTCTCCTTTTCAAAAGAACATCTGTTACTATGTTTTTGAAAAATTGAATGTTTACCTTGTGATGATAGTGTTGTCCTGGTTCAGTGATGCTGCACGTTAGAATGACTTTTGAGAGCAAACTTTAGTAGAGCTTGAACAGAATGTGATCTTCTTTATCAAAACAGTAAATAAATAAGATTCTTTTCCTCTGTCTCAAAACAACAGGATTACAGATTTCGGCAGGGTTTCAGGAACTGTCCTTAGCGGATAGGGGCGGACGTCGTCGGGATTTCCATGACCTCGGGGTAAATACTCGGCAAGCCATAGAACACGTTCGAGAATCAAAAACTGGTATGTTCAGGTTGGATCATAAACAAATGCAACCAAGTTGAAATGAACAGTAGCTTTGCTTTTTTTTCCTGCTTTTAGCATTCTCTTGGGAGCCAAGTTCAAAAAAATATACATATATCCTTATTATGTGCTAGAAAAAGATATGAGTAGTTCCTGACACCTGAAGAGGAACAGTAAGATGATGTGTGACAAATGTTGTGTAGCATTTAAATTGCAGGGATTCAGACATAAATGGTAGTCAATGTATGTTCCTGATGTTGACTTCTGCAAGCAGTACTTCACTGCAGGACTCAGTAGGTTTTGCTTATAGACATTTGGATTCATAACACACTTGAACAAACTTGCAGAGATCTCCTGCAAAAAGCATGCAACTTGAGACCTGTTCTGAAGAAACAGTTTAGTTTAAGTAGAAGGTAATTAACTACTGCCCTTAAGATGAAGTCATGTGAAAAGAAGTAGAAGCGGGCTGCCATAGTGGTCCCACCTCGTTGCTACACCACTGTCCTAGAGTTCTGTGCTGGTAATGGTTTTATATTGCAAATGACTGAGAGATATCACAGCAGTACAACTGCACCTGTAGCAGTCGGTGCTGACTGAATGGTCCAGCCGTGGTGACAAGTAATTCTGCTTGAGTCACTTTGGGCCAGAAGCAGAGTAGCTCTTACCTGTATTTTTTATTCAGAGTTCTGTTAATGCAACTAGATGATGGCTTGCTGTACCTAGGCAGCTGTATTGCTAGCTTTCTGTTTTCTCTTTGTACTTTTGTACAGGTTTCTGGTAGAATGTATGTGCTTCGCAGGACTTCTTGTTTCCGTCTGAGGTGTTACATTTCAGATAGGAAAAGTGGGTGATCCAAATCAAATTAAAGTGCATAGTTCCTTACTGGCTGCAGTATGCTTTTAAAAATTATTATTATGCTTGTGGTTTTAAGTCTAAAAGAAACTGAAATGAAACTTGGGGAAAAAAAAAAAAAAAAGTGGGGAAAAAATGTGACCTGAAGTTTGTTCTCACTGTGTAGTGTTTTTATTTTTAAATCTTGAGATATCAAAGGACATGTCATCATGTGTGAATGGGAAAGTGGACATCTACGCTGATTGGTTCTTGTGTTAGTTCCTGCTCAGTGTTTATGATTCACAAAAAAAGTGATTTGTCCGTTTGTGTTTTGGTGGCAGATCTCTGTAGCATGTAGTAGCTGCCCCTTAGGAGGTTAAGTTGCAGATGTGAATGCATACCTCCTGTGATGTGGGAGTTTTCCTGAGGGACAAAGGAATTATAAAAATCCCAGGTGACAGTAATAATGCTGTCCATGTGGAGTGATTTCTATGAATGTTGCTGTTGTGGGATGGATGCTGAACGTAGCTGTGTAGCTATGACTTAATATTTTAATTTTTTAGAGTTATTAAAATTCTGTAGAATGGTAAAGCTGATGTAATTACTACTGTGTTTGCTTCTCATTTTAGGCTCTTCAGGTGCTATGATAAAATTAATTGCAAATTTTTTTCGTCTCACATCTCGACCCCAATGGGCTTTGTATCAGTACCATATAGACTACAATCCTGAGATGGAAGCACGCCGCCTTCGATCAGCTTTGCTCTTTCAGCATGAAGACCTAATTGGGAAGACACGTGCATTTGATGGATCAATATTATTCTTGCCCAAAAGACTGCCGAATAAGGTGTGATACGAGAGTATTGTCTTGCTTTTCTCTTGGCTTGTGTTTCATGACATTTCTTGTTTCTTACTAGTGTGGTTGAACTAAAGGAATAGATGTCTCAGGAGCAACATTTAGTTGAATTGTATGATAGTATAAGCTAATTTGTTTCTGTAGAGAAATTTGGTAATAAACTTCTGGTTCTGATGCTCAGACTCTGCAGACTGGCATATTCCTCTGCACAGAAGCAGGTAGTAGATTGTATTTTTCCATCATAACTTGCATGTTCTCACATCCACTGTCATGGAAAGGCTGGATGTATTGGGTATACATAGTAAGGTTTTAGTAGCTTGGGGGGGGCTCTGGGGTTTCCCTTGTGGGAGGAGTTCAAGTCTGCTTATATACAGATATTTTCAGCTGCAGCAGACCAGCGTTGAGCCTGTCAGCAGAGCTGGTGGCACCTCTGTGAAAGCATGGTAAAGAAAGGGGGGCAGAAAAGTTTGAGCAGTGCAAGTGTGAGAAGAAAGGAGCAACAGAGGGTAACTGCTGACTGTATCAACTGGTTCTGCCTCTGTTCTTACTGAAGGGCCTGAGTGTGGCTTTAATAAAGGCAAGGGAAAAGAGTTTGGAGGGAAGGAGGAAAGTTGTTTACTCCCATGTGCTTTAATGTTTTTCTCTGCCCCCCAGTATCTTGCACAGGATGCCTTGGGCATAGTCCCCATTCTGTCTCTCACCTAAACAAACCAAGCATTCTAGGCTGCAGTTTGCAGTCACAGTAGGAAATCTAATTCCTGTTTTAGTAAAATCTCAAGATTATTAGTGAAACTTTTAATATACTAGTACAATTTGATATTAATAAAGCAAAGTCTAGGTATAGCCTGTTTGCCTTCAGTTTTATTTATCTAAGTTCATTTTTTTC